GGTGGATCGTATGGATCCTAGCGGATCCTAATGGATCCTGGTGGATCCCAGGATCGACCAGGATCCGCTTTTTTCCCCTTGGAGTCGTCCGAAATAGATAATTGTTGCTGTCAGATACTATAATGTTTCCGCATGGTTTTACGCTGAAAAGGATTATTTTTATGACTAACAGTTGAAATAAGGGTATTTAGAAAGATGAATTTTAGTGTGAAAAAAAAGCGAAGTTGAACGTGTTTTATAGTAAAAGTACTCGATCGAGACTGTTCTTTTTGTACTACATTCGTTGAAATGAATACCAAAACAGCCGTGAATATGATAAATGATTTGCGATGCTTTTCCTAGTCTTTTTTTGGTCGGCTACAGAACTTCACTGCCTGAATAAGTGCCGATAGATTGTGTTCACAGTCTAAATAATTCTGAACAAGACATTTCGTAGCAGAGTAGCTTCATTAATCCATTACCGTCGAGAAGAGTACATAATTGTAAAAGGTTACAGTCTATTGAGCCAGATGCTATCGGAATCATTGGAACAACTCAACAAAATGAAAACTTTCCTTGGAGTTATCTGCAGAAAAACAAAAAACTTTCAAAATCTATATTTGACAAACTTCCATGTTTCTACCTATTTATCATGTATTAGTTTTCACCTTCGATTACACTTTGCATTGGAATAGTGAAAAACTCTAAATTATCTGTCTTCTAATTAAAAGCGCATTGCTATTCTCGACAATGAGTTATCTTTTCAAGATCATGACTAATCTTAAACTGAAAGTAGATTAAAACGTTTTGCATATCATCAGCCAATTCTCATACTTCTAGCTGTCCAATTATCAACAAAAACCACGTCTCTGCAAACCATGACAATTCCTGATGGACCGACGATAATATCCAGGCCGTCAACTCCTCCTCCAACTCCCTCATGTCCTTCTGAACTACCGCCACCGTTTCAAATGAGCGAGCTCTTATTTTTAGACGCGACAATGCAGCTTACCAGTTACAAACACTTTTACATACAATATGCAACACCAATGGGTGCAACTTCTGCAATGCTCACTTTTGAATTTATAACACAGCAAGGCAAATGGTACCTTGACGATGTATCTATGAAGGCTCAAAATGATGATGCTAAAGAAATTATTTCTAATGGTGGCTTTGAAACTGGCAACTTAGCTCCCAATTGGCAATATTGCCATGCAATACACCCATGGTTTGGTGGAGGCGTTGAGAATCAATTTGTTCATACTGGAGCTTTTTCTTATGCATCAGCTGACTTTAGTCTTGATTCTCGTGACTATCTCACGCAAGTGGTAGAAGTCGAAGGCTTTACGAATTATATAATCGAATTTTACCTATTTTGCACTGGTACAATTACCTCAGTAAAGGTGTCCATCACTTCCCGTTGAAATCACATGAAAGATCGCTCTGCTATTATATTCCAAAAATAAATAAAATTAGATTTCAAAAGTTGTCTTTTGAAAAAACTGTTCCATAATCGGCAATGAGAGTTCTGTTACTAAAGTGACCCTTTATATCGTTTTCTACAAACATTTTTCAGCTTCCATCGCAAACGAGTCTTCGCACTAATGTTCCCGCCACAATTAAAGAAGGGTGAGTGTCAGGTCAATAACCCAGGTCAAAAATGGCCCATCGGATTCTCTCAAATTTGTCTCAAGTCGATGAGGGTGTGATATAGTTACCGCGATAACCTTAGATTATTTCGATATTACATGTGTTCTATGTCGTCTGGCTAAAGTCGGGATGTTCGATCGGCTGTTGTTAATGGACGAATAGGTTGGATTTATATTTGAGGAACACTTGGTTGTAGAATTATCTGAAATGAAATAAGAAATTTTTTATATGGATCCAGAATGTGTTTTTTTCTTATTTTTGCAGTTTTTTTTAGTTGTATTTCATATGGTATAGGGTACGTGTTTTTATGAATGTATACAATATAGTTTCTGTGTAGTTCTAGTTGATTTGAATATTGAGTTTGTCGTCGGTTGGCTCGACTGTATTTTCATTGAATATCATTGTAAGTTTTCGTTGTAGTTCACATACACCACGTTGTCGCATGTTATTTTCACGTATGATAATAGTGGTAATGATTTGGTCGAGTAGCTGAACATTTTTGTGATTAGTTCTTGTTGATAGCAGTTTATTTTTCTCTGCTGTTGCTATGTTTGTATAGTGTTGTGCGATGTCTTCGGCTCTGACTATTGTTTGCTGAGCCATCTGTTCGGTTGACAATGTTTGGTAGTGAAAAGCTAATGAGGTGAATATACGGTTTATATTTGGCAATTGTATATCCTGGAATGTACATGATGATACGGGCGTGTGTAGTGGAACCCACTTTTTAAATATCGCAATTTCATGTAGGATTGTTTGTTGATCATGTATAGCTTTCCATATAATTTTTGCTGAATTTATCTAAAAATTCATGTGGATTGCAAATATCTTTGAGCATTTTGCATGCTTACCTCTGTTTGTCTTGGCTTTAATGTGTAAAAATGGTCAACGAGTTTATGTTCTTCAGCATCGAGTCGAAGCATTGTTTTTCGTCTGTCAAGTTCAAGACGAAGTTGATGTTGATCTTTATGTATTAAACTATTTATCATATTCATAAGATTTGTCATATCAATAATGATCGGTGCTTGTTTCATATGTTCATTAATAGCATGTTGGACTTGTTCACATTGTAGTTTATATTTATCAAGACGTTGTTTTATTAAGATTTTCGATCGACCATATGTGTAACACATTGCGTTAGCATCGGCCATTTTTTTCGATACTCGTCCGTTCCAGATACCTTCTGTCATGCCTAAATTATAATAGTAAGACCATTGTTCATTTTGTAATTGAGAATAGTTTAACTTATTGACGAGTTGTGTAAGTTGACGAATAAATACTAATATTTCTTTCTGATTCAATAATTCATTAAGTGTATCGGTATTAATATTATTTGACGTTGATGTTAATAACATTTCTTTAAGCTTGCTGTCCAATATTGTTAAATAATCCGGCAATAATAATGTTGGATCAGAACTTGTTGCTAGATCCACAGCATTAAAGATTTTTTTCATTGGCAAATCTTGTGTTGCGGATAAATTCTGAACCTGTCCATTTGGTTCAATAGTTGCTAATTGAAATTGGTTATTGGCAGAGACTTGTTTCTTTTTCATACGTAATCGACGATTTTTTTGTGTAATTTTGACGTTTGCGATTTGGTTTATTTTGATTAAATTTGCTTTTCATTTTTGCTTGTTGATAGTGTTTTTGAACTTTGATAATATTTTAGGATAGATATCTGAAATGAAAAAAAAACAACAAATATAGATATTTTTTTACGAAGAGAGTAATACGAGGAAAGGAAAAGAAAATGTATAATATAGCATATAGTTTATTTTCAAAAG